AAATATGTGCTCTACTTGGTTAAACATTGGAACCAAATATGTGTTTTCGGTAATTTTCCTTGGTTGATCTGAATTATAGCCAATTCCCTGATTTCTAGAGAAGGCCAAATTTCATATTTCTATCTTAAGAGAATAAATTCAATAAGTAATTCAGTCTAGAAAGGCATATTACATACTGACAGAACTCTTTTTAATGCAAATACCTCAATTAAAGGATATTTTTGTGTACCTTTAATAGCAGCATTGAGGAATTTCAGGGCCATGGAGATACATCTGAGAAGGATTGTTTGTAGGCATACCTATAAGATATATGTTTCTATGAGCATGGCTGATTTTAGTTCAGACTGTTATACCGTGCCAGTTTTGGGGTGGGTGGGGACAGAAAGCTATTAGGAACTGATTGATATGATCTGATTATCTGATAAGTGACTATATATAGCCATTTTTTTCACTGATTTGTATTCTTCTTTGTTCAGTAGGAATTAGAAAAGGCAAAAAAATAGTCATTTATGGCAAGGTTTTTCAACCAGTGGTACTGGTACCACCTGTGGTACATTGGCACCTGGCAGGTGGTACGCGACCATCCTAGAAAAGTAGCAGGGGAGGGGAATGAGCTGAACCGGTGGCAGCACTGCACAAGCCTGAGCGAGAGATGGCTGGAGCTGCAGGGCTGTCAGGGCTCAGTGGAAGCGCCAGGATCAGCGCCAGGCTCCAGCTGGAGCTCGGCACTGATTCTGGTGTTTCTGCTGAGCCCTGAAGAAGCACCAATCAGCTGGAAAGCAGCACTGATCCTGGCACTTCTGCTGAGTCCAGAAGAAGTGCCGATCCGCTGGAATGTATCAGCATCTTCATGGTCTTGTGATTTACATTTAGATGCTTGGCAACTGATTCATATTTATGACGGTCACAGTATCCCAGGGTCATGTGAAGTGACCAAAACCTGCTGCAACCACCTAGCAGACAGGAGGAATAAAAACCAAAAAAACGCCATCCCATCCCGCTGCCAATCCTCAACAGAAATGCTCACAACAATGAAAACCTTGGACAGGAGGAAGAGCGCCGCTGGGTGGGCGGGCAGGCAGGTGTCTTGCTCAGCTGTGGCTTGGGGAGCACTTTTTCAGTGCCATTGTAACTTTGAACAGTGACTAAGCGAACTGTTGTAAGTTGAGGACTACCTGTACCAGTACTTTATCACTTTTTTCCTTTTTTTTCCTTTTTTTTTTGGTCATCAAGTTTTTGACACCTTGCTAGGCGGCTGGTGGTACATGGATGTTGCCATATCCTAAAAGTGGTACAATGGGTGAAAAGGTTGAAAAGCCCTGATTTATGGCAAAACCATACTAAGACTAAAAAGTGAAAGATGGAGTCTTCTTTGAATCAGGCTCAACTTTTAATGTCCTAATGCAGGGGTCTCCAACCCCTGGTCTGTTGCCTAGTACTGGTCCATGGGCTGTTGGGAAGCAGGCCGCACAAGCGGCAAGCGAGCATGCGAGTGAAGCTCCATTTGCACAAGTGGTGGGCACACACATGAGACCATCCCCCCTCCCCCCTCCAGTGCCCCACTGCCGCTGCCAGTTTACAGAGCTGGAAAGGTTGGGGTTGCTATTCTAATGAACACATCCATGTTGTATTCTTGGTTTTCTTCCCAACTTACAACTGTACTGCTGGTAGTCTTCCTTCCACATATTAACTGAGTTTCACCTCTGAAATCAGTCAAACTTCATAACATGCTGTAACAAGAAGAAGGCATTTCTCAAGTTCTACCTATAACTTGGTAATAAAATAAATATAATGTGTAACACTTTAGCAGGGGAGGAAGTTATCACCAACAAGGTCCCCTCCTATTGTTGCTATATGTCATATTACCTGTAAGGAAGGCATTTGGAGAAGAGCTTCAGCAAAGAACACAAAATATAGACTGATATTGGAAGAGATGCTTCTCCACAAATAGGAATCTGCAGTAATTTAAGGCTTTGAAATAATCAGTACCACTGATTTAGAAGTTATACTCAGTTTGCTGGTACTCAACTATATATAAGCCAAAACAGCTCTTGTAAAATAGTCCCAGTGCCCTATCTGCTAAAGGCCAGGCAAAGATACCGTGGGGGCAATGTCAGATTGTTTAGCAAAATCCATAAGAAGCAGTGGCTACACTCCATGTACCCCTATAGTGAGAGGAGGCTATGGGGAGAGATCTGGAGAACGTTCCAGTACAGGGAGAAGGAATAAGGTTTTTCCATGTCTGCTCCTCAGAAGGTCTGACAGACCTAAACAGATGGTCAATTGAATGGCTAAACCGATGACTCTGAAATGATCCTTTCCATCATAAGTTCAGGTTATGAAGGTTATCTTCTTCAAAAGCCCATCAGAACCAGGATACCCAGATCTTGGGTCTTTGTTTTGTTTTTTGTGAAAGCCTGCTGTGGTTGCCATTTTTTATGATAATATTGATGCTACCAAATTAGAATTTTAGAACTTAGAACTTTGAATCAATGTTGACTCCTGTCAACTGCCCGGACAAACTTCTGTAAGTTTCCTGGCAAGATTTCAGAGGTAGTTTGCCCTTGCCTACCTCCTTGGATTGAGAGAGGATGGTTAGTTCAAAGCCACCCAGGTGGCTTTGTGCCTAAGGTGGGACAAAAACTCCAGGTATCCAGGTTTCTAGCCAGGTACCTTAACCACTGCATCAGATACACAGTAAGTGACCTCTTGTGAGATGGGTGGCCATATAAACTTGAAAATGAATGAAAGATAGATAGATGATAGATAGATAGATAGATAGATGCAGACAGACAGACAGATAGACAAGAAACCATCACTGAGACGGCCAACCTAGTTTCTACTAAGAAACTATTCTGAAGTATAGACACCATGATTAAAAAAAAATATTTTTGCCTCAGCCTCCCTTACTTCACTAAGTGTAGCAGCCTGAGAAATGGAGTGTGGGTGTTTGCTATGGGTGGCTATTAAAATGTTTCCCAAAGATGATTTCAGGGCAACTTACAACCTCCTTTAAAAAAAGTTGTTTCTCACTGCTACAGGAGTCATGGCAGAAGTCATGCACTTTCAGAGTCCTACATGAGGGAAGTATTAAATTACCCTTCTACAATCGAAGTGTGACTTGGTACGTGTTCAGGTTTTTCAGCTGTTATTTACTGTGTCTCAGGGATATATTTGCTGGGTTCATATAACAGGTCACCTATCATAAATATCAAGTTTCATTATGGAGACCACAATGCTATTCTTTAAGACAACTTTCCAATCCCATTGGATTGCAATCAGTTTCACTGATGTTTAAAACAAATAATGTAAGACTTTCTTCTTACTTTAGAGTTATTTTCTGGGAGAGAGGCTGAAAGCATGGCCAAAATAATATCAGACACCCACAGCTAATGTGGGCTAATTTTGTTTTAAATAAATATTTTTTTTAAAAAAAAGTGGACAAAACATGCCCAAGCCTCTTCTCTTCTTTGTGCAGTCCCATCCCTCAGTTCATAGGACTGGAGCCTGGGAACAAAAAGTCTACATGTTGTACAACATGACAGGGTAGTTTATACTTGTGTATACATACTCCTCCTATAGAGATAATACTGAAGAAGTAAACTAGCAGATCAATGGCGAGAGGTATCTGAAGCTCTCTCTATGATATGTGAATATTCTTTATATGGCTGTAGCTGCTAATGAATGCTTAGCAGCTGCCTCTACTAATAAAGGATTTCTATAGGACAGTAGTGGCGAACCTATGGCACGGGTGCCAGAGGCGGCAGTCAGAGCCCTCTCTGTGGGCATGCACGCTGTTGCCCCAGTCCTAGGCCTTCAGCTAGGTTTTATAAAACCTTTTTGCTTTAGACCGCTGCCGCTGTGTACAAAAAAAAAAAAAAGTTTCTATCAATCAGTCAATTTCAACTTCTCATGGGAAAAAAAAGTCCTTGCAAAGTTGGAATTGATTGATTGAACTTTTTAGTCCCATCCAGTCTGCCGTTATCACTGCAGCCACGCCCATCCAATGGGCTACACCCACGCAATGGGCCACGCCTACCTGGCACCCGATGATGCATAAGTGGGTTTTGGGTTGCAGTTTGGGCACTCGGTCTCTAAAAGGTTCGCCATCACTGCTATAGGACTATGAAACCAGTGATGGGAAGTATTGTGGATATTTATAATTCTTCCACATAGGAAGTCCTCGTTTGGCAATCACACGCAGGACTGGCAACTCAGTCACTAAGCGAGGCACTTGCTAAGTGAAACTACGTGCACACAATCTTCCCTCAGCTTATTTTTGCTTTACAGATTGCTAATGCAAGGATTAGTGGCAAAGTTACTTTTTTAAAATGAAGACTACCTGTATTTGAAGAGCTGTCTCTTTGTAATCCCAGTCAGAGAAAGCTGCCTAAAAGTGAATATTCTGAAATAATTGCAAGCAGTCTTAGCAGGGCTTTTTAGTTTTTTGGAAAGCCATCAAGATCTGGCTTATTTACCCAAATGCTGTGATAGTGTGATACAGAGATCCATAGTGTGCAATCAGGGCGACTGGTCTTGCTGTGAGGGGATGATTAAGGCTCAGGGTTTTTTTTTATTATTACTATTTTACTCTTTTTTTTAATGATTGGTTTTATTGTTGTTGTGAGCTGCCCAGAATTGTTTAAGATGGGTGGTCGTTTAAGTCATCTGAACAAACAAATAAATAAATGATCTATGTACATGGCCAGAATGAAATGAAAAGATCTGACTTTGCCCACAAAGGACCCCACTCAATTTTTTATTTTTCTAACCACAGGACAATTGCCCCATGCAGTGTAGTTAAGATCCCACCAGTTGCAAATATCAGATTGTGCTTCGGCCGACTATGCCTTGGCTATGAAGTTATGTGGGTGCCAAAAATTATGAGTAGTGGTTTAATGTGCATAGTTATAGTCACCCATCAGCCAAAGTGAATAATAGCCAGACTGTAAAATAATTGCAGCTATGTCTTGAAGCGAAGCCAGGAATGGAGATCAGAGCCATCCGTCTCTGTTAATTTGTGTACAGTTCTTACAACAGCGCAGAAACATTTAGAAAACACTTGCAGGGGTTTGCTCTGAAACAGCTGGACAACTTTTATTTTGAAGAAAGGAGAGGATTAAAAAAAAAAAAGGAAAGAAAGAAAAAGGGAAGCCTCCCAATGGACTGGTCTTGTTTCACAAAACAAGCCAGTCTCCAAGTTGAAGACTTTGACCGGTGCATTTAAGAAGAGTTCTCATGCCTGGAATAATCTAGCCCAAGTTTTTCTTTTTGTTTTAAACTTGGTGAAGAGTTGGTAAAAGTTCTGCATTTTCCTCAGGCAGCTGAAACCCTTCCAGGAAGCTCTTCCCTGCTTTGCTCAACTTGTCCTCTCAGTCTCTCTGTGTAACAGCCTGCATGTTTTGGTGCTGCTCAGACTCTATGTGGTCTCTATGGCCTCATTTTACCGGACTGTCACACGGAGGGAGGTTTTCCCCAGCACCAGAAAAAAACCTTGGTGTGGTCTCTTCAGCACAGTAGCTAAGAACAAGTTTCCCGATTGCTCCCAGGTTCTCCCGGGAACTCTTTTCAGGAAGAGGCTGTTCCTCGCCCACACTTAAATGGATGATTATGTTACAATTAGGAAAAAGCATCTCCAGAGACCTATCTTTAGGTAAGTGGTGTTCTCGTTCCTCTGGATGTGAAGTTATTTTGAAGGGAACTTTTCACAACTCTTTCTGGCTTTCAAATATGAAAACAAACAAGAGGCTTTCAGGGGCAGGAATCTGAAGTTAAACTTGCTCTGTCTGCTTGTTTGTGTGAGTGTGTGTGCATGCATGTGTGTGTGCGCACGCGTGTCTGCGTGTGTGTGTCTGCCAGCAGAGTTTTGAGATGGACATTTTCATCCAAGATGTAGTAAACTTTTGCAGGCTTCTGAAACAATATTGGAATTGAAATGGCAACAACCTTCTACCTCCCCAAACATCAACTTTATTACAGACTTTGAGCTGGGATTTTGATGCTTGTGAAAAAAAACAAAAAAACCTAGAAATGAATTTTTGTTTTCAAAGCCGGCCACTAGCTCAGATACATTCTCTGTGCCTTACTTTGTTCAGACTCAGTTTAACTGAATATGTCGGTGGGCCAGAAATGTAATACCTATTCATAATATTTCCTTGGGCTTTGTGAAATACAAACATTTTCAAAAAGACTTACTTCTAGGAAATATGCTTAGATTGGAGCCTTAATAGAATGTATGATTTGGAAACTAAATGCAATTATTTTGTTTAAAAAAAAACCCCAGCTACTCAATAGCATGGTCCTATTGACCATGTATAGTATTCAGCTGTACATACTACTTATCTTAATAGATTTTAGTCCTTAGCAACTATTGTAAGATTTCAGTCCAAATCATGATGAAGTTCTCTTTTGCAAAGATTTCATGGCTGTGATTTTTAACATGGTTGTGTTTCTTCCCTCCCCTCCCCTCCCCTTCCCTTTCCTTCCCTTCAAGTCAAACTTGACTCCTGGCAATTATTTGCCATTGCCTTCTTCCTTGGTCTCAGAGGGAGTGATCGGTCCAAGGTCACCAGCTGGCTTTTGTGCATAAAGCAGAACCAGAATTCAAGTTTTCCCTACTCCTAGACCAGCACCTTAATCATTAGACAAAACTCACTCTCTAGATTCTTTAGGCTCCCATTGGGGAAAAAAAATCCAGTTTTAGAAACTAAATAAGATTTAATACTATGTAGACATGTATAGAATTGAGTCATTATGCAGCCTAGCTTCATACTGTATTACATCCTGGGAAGTGATCATCACTTCAACCAAAATCAGGACCAACTTAATAATTTCCCTACAAAAGCAGTCTAAAGATCACTAAATACTCTGAATATATTTGATCTTTAAAACAATTAAGAAAAGACTTCTAAAAGCTATTATGTTTGTATTATACATGTATCATCTAATATATTTGATGACAAATGCCATCATATTTATATTCCCACATGCCATTTAGTTTAGTCTTCTGTGACCATTTTTGGACCAAATGGTTTTTCAAAGTAATTACACTTCAGCCTTGCTACTGTGCTGTGATAGTTGTATCATATATCTTAGAGATGTATAATATATCTCAGAATAATTGCAATTACTTCTATTGGCATCTTTAAAATTCTTCTGGAATAGATGAGATCGCAACTAAGAAAACTTGACCCTGAAGTGCTGATCAACAATGATCAACAAATATAAGACTACCTTAGTCCCTGGAAGAGTACATTGGGTTGCATCTAAAAAGGACAAAAGTATCTACCCAAAAGTTAAATTCCAAAGATAAAAGTGATTCTATTCTAAATAGGAATATCACATGGAACGTCTTGGATCTTGTTGACTCACTGTTGAAGGAAATATTTAGGATAGACTGAAATTTAACCTAGAAGTCATCATCAAATATATTAGACGATACACATATAATACAAACGTAACAGCTTTCAAAAATGTTTTCTTGATTGTTTTAAAGATCAAATATATTCAGAGTATTTATTGATATCTAGACTGGATTTATAGGAAAATTCTAAAGTTGGTCCTGATGTTTGGTTGAAGTGATGATCACTTCCCAGGTTGTAATACAGCATAGACTTTTCCACTTGCTATTTTTTTTTTTTGTCAATTTGTTCTAAGCAGGAGATGGACATTGCATGCAAAGAGCTGCCATCTCCCTTGAAGTGCATGAAGAATCCTTTTGTACAGCCCTAGTCTACTACTATTCTACCATTTAGCAAATAAGCTCAAGATTGTATATAAAATTTTCTTTTCTCTTTAATTCTTATGGCAACACTGCACGATGATACAGAGAATTGCCCAAGATGCCTCTATGCCTGTCTACATAATCTTGGCTGCTCTGGATTTAATCCATTTTATTTAATTGTACAATGTAATGAAAGCTAAATTAATAACACAAGCTGGATTTGCACAATGCTGTAGGTTTATATTTCAGTGGGTTATGCAAACATTGGAAAACTTATGGGTCTAAGATTGTTGGTGAGAATCATGTTCAAGCAAGGAACTGAATCCAGCGTTTTCTGGATTGTGCACTGAAAACTACCCAAGTGAATGTGTTCATATATATGAAAAGAGCCAAGGTCTGTGATGCTGATGTTTCATTTTCAGCATCAAAAATTCTAGGTGTTTCACACTCTGCTGATTATCAGGTGTTTTTTTTAATAGATCTGCTGTAATATATATAGAAAAAATAATGTAATTTATTTGATGATGCCCTAAAATATATAATTTAGGCACAAAAATATTTTCGTCAAAGTAAATGACTATAAATTTTAGTAGAAATTTCCTTTCAACCTCCTTCTTGAGATCTGTAACTCTTTATTGGATTGAATGAAATGTCTTCTGCTCCTACAGGAGACACCTTGTAGAATGCCCATTTTTTCCCCTTAGGAATTCAGCAAAGGTTCAGGATTAGCCCCAGGAGATAAACTGTCATTTACATGCATTTCCCTTAATGTAATTGAGCAAAACAAACAAACAAAAATCCATGGAGACATCAAATTTTACAAATGTCTGTCTGTTGAGCATTTTAAGGAGAATTCACTTAGTGGATTATCCATTAATTTGATTGGTTTCACCTTGTGTTTTGAGTTTCATTCCATTTTTTAAAAAAATCATAGAGCAATCAGGAATGAATTTATGGAAGGAATAGCATATAAAGTCATATTTCAACTTCATATCCCTCAGACGCTTGGTATGATTCTGGGGTTGTGAATGCAGTTGTCAAAAAGTAATTGTGGAAAAAGAAATTATTTTTCCCTTGAAAGAATTGCAACGGAAAGTAATAATACTCCTGAAAATGAACAAAGATGTTATAAGTGCATTGGCCTATTTTATTTTATTAAAAAACTATAGATAGTGGAATTTTATATTTTAAACCAATTTGACAATTTAATTCAAAGATGATTTGTTTACATTTTTATTTGATTATTCAAGTCAATGATAAATAGAGTAGAACAGAGCAGAGCAGAGCAGAAGAGAAGAAAAGAAAAGAGAAGATAATAGCTTTATTGGCCAAGTGTGATTGAACACACAAGGTTGTCTACAGTGCATAAGCTCTCAGTGTACATACAAACAACAGGGTATATAGAAACAAAAAGTATGTATACAAAGAACAAGGTAATATAATTATAAGATATCAATAGGAGAAGGTAGTAGAAAATATGAGAAGGATAATAGTAATACACCCATACTACATGGGTAAATATCTTTAGACATAAGACATTCATTAAAGTTAACTAAACTCTGCTACTTAAATTGAATTATAAATGTAAATTGAATTGACAATTCAAATCAAACAGAAACATAAATTTAAATAATATCTTGATTGATTTGTACAATTAACTGATGTTGTAAGCTGCTCAATAGTGAGATGAGCAGCATATACATTTAATAAATAAATTACTCTCTTTGATTTTGCTGTGGCCTTGCTAATTTCAAGGGATTGTAGAATATCACTCAATCCAGCCTCATGCTCCAGCTGAAATCTTCAGAGCTTCATCACAACCTGTTGATTTTACTGTTGAATCATTGTACCTTTTCGCCAAACTGTTTCCCAAAATGGCTGGAATGCCATATGGAGCCACAGTGAACAAATCTTCATGGTAAAGAAGTGTTGGTTATTACCTTTAAAGCTCTATATGGCTCAGGGCCAGGCTATTTGCGAGACCGCCTACTACCTCATAGTTCCCTTCGTCCGGTTAGATCCCACAGGCTGGGCCTCCTTCAGGTCCCGTTGGCCAAGCAGTGCCATTTGGCAGGGCCACGGGGGAGGGCTTTCTCTGTGATGGCGCCCATGTCTTGGAACCAGCTCCCCCCGGAGATTAGGACTGCTCCCACCCTGTTGGTTTTCTGCAAGCTGCTTAAGACCTGGCTTTTCCGGCAGGCCTGGGGTTTATAAAATCTGACCCCTGGATGAATGTTATTGTATTGTTTGTTTTGTTAATTTATATTGTGTTTTTATTGTTAGCCGCCCGGAGTCCTGCGGGAGTGGGGCGGTCTATAAATTTTAATAAATAAAATAAAATAAATTTATGTCATTAAACTCCCCCTGCATGAAATATCTCGTTGTTTCAGTTTACTCTTTCTTAATATGCTATAGCTTATAGCATCCTTTTTAAAATACGACATGTAGAACTGGAGACAGTTTTCCAATACAACAGGATTACTCTTTGGAACCTGGCGATAGTGCTTCTTTTAATGCAACCTAAATCACATTTGTTTCTATTACAATCCTGACAATTTCCTGGGCTCCTGTGAGAATTACAGTTTTAAAGAATATCTTGTCAAAGAAAAAAGGGGGAAAAAAAGAAAAGGAAAAGACATAGAAAGTGCTTTAAAAAAAGTTATGTGTAATTTATTCTGTCTTTCTATTTTTTTATTTTCTCTGACAATGTATTTCTATAATAATTATCTTTATGTTTTATTCTTTTTCTTTTTATTATTATTTTAAAATCAATAATTTCTTTTTTTTTAAAGAAAACCTATGCAGGATACACTGAATCACAATAATTAGAAATCAGTGCTTATATCAACATTGCAAAATAGTTGATCGTTACAACTATTACTCCAGAATATTTTTTTTTCAGGCTCAGATAAGGAGCCAACTATGCCCCA